ATAAATATTTCACTCAATGTCATAAAAATATTATAATAGTTACTGGAAATAGTTAAACTAGCTTTGTGCAAAGTTTGGCATTGATTGGATGAAAATTAAAAGCTGAGCAGCCTAAAATGTAAAAAGTGTGACAACCAACCCCGCTCTCCCCTATATTAAAAATAGTAAAGGGACGTAGAACAGAACCCTGCGAGACACTATATTTAATAACATTACTTGTGGATAGAAAACCGTTAACTGAGACAAATTGAGTACGATTTTTAATATAGGATGAAAACCAATCATTAGCGACACCCCGAATACCATAGCGAAACAATTTTTCAATTAAAATTAACTCTATCAAATGCTTTTTGGAGATCAAAGACGTCCCAAGCAAAAAAACCACTACTAATGGAATCATGAGTCATTTTAGTAATGATAATAAGCGTATGAAAAGAAGAGTGTTTTAAACGAAATCTAAACTGGCGACCGTAGAGACACTTAGAATTATCAAGAAAGGTAGGTACGAGAATATATTAATTTATTTAAAAATTTTGATGATATTTGATAATAATGATAAAGTCAAAAATGATAATAAAAATCACAAAAAATTGCAGACAAGTCTTGAGTCCTTTTTATGGATTGGTTTAACAGATGCAGTTTTTAAAATATTAAGGAATATACTTATAGCGAATAAGAGATTAAATAGTTTAGAAAGTACTGAAGAAATATCATTAGAGAGAAGTTTTAGAATAAAAGTTCAAACTCTGTTTGGGATCAGAAGCCTTGGGATCATTTAGAGAAAGAATAAATGATATTATTTCATTTTTTTCCGTAGGTTTAATTAAAAAAAAGTCAGAGTTTGATGTTTTTAAATACTTATGGAAGCCCGTATGGACCCGTAATGAACTTTTTTTTGCAGTTCTTCTGGGATTGAAATAAAAAAAGGAGTTAAAAGTTTCCGAAAATTTTAACTGGATCATTTATAATGGTGTTGTTTAAAGATATACAAGATAAATATGAGATATCATCCGAACGCATATTCAAAAGAGTTCTAACACCCTTCCACGAAGCTCTCAAACTATTGCTATTAGTAGTAAAGTAGTTTCTTCGAATAAGTGTTACAAGTAAAGATTTTGTAAGTTGTTTTAAGAATTAGTTTGTCCTCTAGATTTTTTGTTTTAAGGAACTTCATAAATATATTGTTTAATTTTTTTATCGAGGTTAAAATTGCTGAGGTAATCCATGGTTTAAGGCTGCGAGTTAAGCCGCGATTACTTAGTTTTTCAGTCGTGCGTGTTTGTCTAGAAGATAGTTAAAACTAGTGAAGAAATCTTTATTTGATTTATATGTATTACCATTGGAAAGTTTGATTAATTCTTAGTTGGTTTTTAAGTAATCATTTCTGAATTCTTTTCTATTTAATTTTTTGAAGTTTCAAGGAAGAATATTGCTTTTACGAGAATTAATTTCTTTTTAAAAAAAGATGAACAAATTAGAAACTGCGACAAACTGACATTTTAATTGTTAAATTGCCAGAAAAATATCTTTAGAAGTTGAATTAGAAAATATATTATTAATTAAAGTTCTTGAGTGATTAGTAAGATTTGTAGGGTAATTTGGGTATAGTGAGGTAATTTGGGTATAAATTATATTTTCTCTATAAAAATTAGCAATTATATACCCAAATAAAAATTAGCATAAATTTCTTGCACATGAACTTATAAAAGACATGTAAGAAATCTTTAACATATAAAAACAATCACCAAAATTATATTGTCAACACTAACCATAACTCTTCTAAAAAATATATAGGTTATGTACAAACGTTAGTAAAATGAAAGCAAAAACATCAAAGCATTGTCATTTGTTAATCCATTGAGATATTTTTATCTAATTTAGGTATGTATACATTACATAATAATACTTTCATTTTTTATTAATTTGGGCTGCTGAGATATACTGTTAGTTTTATTATTAATTATTTAAAAGTTGGAGTAATATGGATATAGTTACGTAAACTTCAAAACTAACCTAAATTTTTGTTTTAGATCATGCCAGGCACACATGTGAAAAAAAAAAACCCTTTTAAATATGATAGCAATGATCTACAAAGGGTTTAAGAAGATGTATGCAGCTGCAAAAAAATACAATATTCCGTATTGAACTTTGAGACTAGAGTGTGTGAATCCTCCAACCTATCAAGACACTGGCAGAGGAACATTATTAACAAGAGACATCAAGGCACTGGCAGAGGAACAGTATTAACAAGCGCTCTAACCACTGCCGCCGTGGTACAGTGATTAGAGCGCTTGCTTTATAAGCAGGAGATTGAGGTTCGAAACGAGCTTTGGACATATTTGTCGTCATGTTAAGGAAGGAGGGGTGAACTTCCTGAATAAATGCACTTTCGCGGTGTTCTGTGAAAAGACCGTAAAGATTTCTTGGGGCACCAAAAAAACAAATTAAAAAAAAAAAAGAGAAGAAAAGAAATTTATATTAGGTGCCCTAATTTTTTCAAAAAATTGCTGATGTCCACTAGGCAGAAAAGATTTGCAATATATGGTGCACAGTTAGGTACAGTCATTGGGTAGGAAGACACCGTTTAAAAATGACACGCATGGTTATGACTTCACTATTTAGTTAGAAAGAAGGTGAAAAAAAAAGTTGCAAGGTGAAAGCCTGAATAACTGATTAAAGCAAGGGCCGAAGGGCTATCTAGATATGTGGTAGATGGCTATCTAGATATGTGGTAGATTTAGAGTTTATCAAAAGGTTCTTAATAAAAACAACTTAAAATCCAGAAGGAATACTTAATTTAGACAAAACTGGCCTAGGTACCAACTCTGCTAAAGGTAAAGTATTTGTTCGTAAAAGTGCAAGGATAACGTATTCGCGTTCAGGAAGTGCCGGGAGACTCCAGTACAGTGTTCTTTTTTGTAGCAAGTGCTGATGGTGAACGCTAACCACTTTGTATTATTTATAAAGGAATGGGAGAGTTACAATCTACTTGGGTAAAAGTAGGACCTCCAGGTACGCTGTATGGGGTTACAGAATCTAGTTGGATACTATATTTTTAAAAAATGATTTGATGCCTTTGTCAAGAAAATAAAATACCTAGAAAAGCCAGTTTTAGTATTATTTGAAAGGCTTGGAAGTCACTTGACTTACAACGTAACCTGTACAGTAAGGGATAATGGCATTATACTTTTATGTTTACCGCCTTATACATCACATGCTCTTCAACCATTAGACGTTAGTGTGTTTGTTCCTATGAAAGATGACTGGAAAAATATATTGAAGACATGGTCCCGTAAGTCACATCTTAAAAATGTAGATAAAACTCTTTTTCCAAGTCTTTTAAAGAAACTTTTCAAAGACTCATTCAAATCAAATCCCATAATAGGCGATCTGTTATTTACCCAGTAAATTCAACCATTCTAGGAAACAAAATTGTTTCAACCCAACGCAACATTTTGACCCAAACAGATCCTTAACTTGGAATATTAAAAAGTCTCCAGAATATTTTGTGGAAATCAAATATTACCAATTTAGCAATACGAAAAGAAGTATAGTGAGACATTAAGCCGGGTGAAAAAAAAAGAGCTTGTGCTTTTACTCAGTGTTTTTGAAGTATTTGCTCAGCTTCACTTGAATTTAAATTTGATTAAAATTGTTCAAGCCTTTATTTAAGTAAAGCTGACCAACTATTGAGTAGAAGCAATTGCCTTTTTTTAATCACGCGGCCTAATTACTGCAGCCTTTTTTCAAAACGCTTTAAGATATTTCGTTTTTCAAAACTTAATATCTTAAGACGATTAATATTTCCGTTTTTCAAAACGCATTTCGAGAAAAACGCAATTAAAAAAAATTATTCGGAGAAACTTTTTGTAAAACGTTTTTTGAAACTAATAATTTTTATGAATTTTTTCAGAACTCTTTAAAAATATGAATTCAATAACGTTTGTAGACATCTAAACTAGCTTATTTTGTAAAAAAGTCAAAATTGTTTTTTTTTTACCTAAAAGCATTTTGAAAAACAGCTGCAGTTTACTCTTCAAAAGGCCGTCTATATTTAAAAAAAAACTTTGATTTTTTTCACATAAAATGAAAAATAAAATAAAAAATAAAAAAATATATGACACGAGAGCTTTTTTTTTTATAAAGTTATAACTTCTCTAAATTTTTGGATATATATTAATATATATATATATATATATATATATATATATATATATATATATATATATATATATATATATATATATATATATATATATATATATATATATATATATATATATATATATATATATATATATATATATATATATATATATATATATATATATATATATATATATATATATATAGGCTTCTATTACAGAGGTATGAATAAATATATTAAAAAATAGCAATATGACTAACTGCCTGAAAAATCAGTAAATAACAGCATTTCTTTAATTATTGAATTGTCTGCATTAAAACCCACATTGCAGACAAAAAAATGAAATTATATCTTAAATACTTTAAGGCTTTTGTTGGCTTTTACATAAAAATGTTGTTACCCAGCAAACATTTAAACGTTGATTAAACTTTGAAAATGGGTCGCAGAAGATGTTACTGAAACGTTGAAAGATTGATTAATTTTACAAGACTTTATAACGTTGTTATAAAGACGTTGACTAAACGTTGTTGCAATAACGTTGAAAAAACGATAATCAAACAACATTGCTCAAACGTCGCTTTTTAACGATGAAAAATTACTTCAAAAATCATTACTGAGAATCAATTATTTTGCTTTTGTGCATGCTTATATAAATTTTAGTAAATTTTATTTTTTAATTTTATGAATGTTTGGCAGAGATATTCAGCAAATTATTGTATGTTGAATAAAGACCACGGTTAGACCACGGTTTAAAAAATTTTTTGTAGATTGTTTTACGTTTTCTAAATTGATTTAAATGATTAATAATTTAAGAATTTGTTAAACTTTCAAATTTTCACATTCAAAATCATTCAATGCTATGGTATTAAAAATAACTTCTTAAAAAGTTATTTGATAAAAACAATTTACAATAGTTATTTTGTTTCAGTAAGTCTTTTATATCAGTAAGACCACCTAAACCATAATTGCAGCGGTGACAAAAAGCACAGTTATGGAAACATCAACTAATTTTGAAATAACGACAAGTCAGCCTTCAACAACGACAAGTCTGTCTTTTACGTGCGAAAACAACATAGATTCATTTATAGTTTATATTACAGCAGGAATTTCAGTAAGAAATATTTTAGTCGTAGTAAACTAAATTTTAAAAATTAAAGTTGATTAAAAAAAAAAATTTGATTCTGAATTTTATATTTAGAGATTTTATTATATTAAAACTTTTACTAAATAAAAACAGTACTTAACTTACATTTAGTAAAAATTATATTAGGAACTTAAATTTTTGTCAAAGGACGAGGTTAAAAACAAAAAAATTATGCTTCACAATTATACAATACATCATCTAACAATATAGACCTGCGTGTCCTTTAGAACATGTTTAATTTGTTTTAATAAATGCATTCGAATCTAAGTATATCTTTTATATTAATCTTTATTTTATTTATAAATAATTTTATTCTAGTCTTATATACTTTGACTTTCTTAACAGATAGAAATTTCAGTTGTACGATACAAAATAACCCAACAAACATGTTAACTTTGAATTGACGTTAAAAAAAGGTTTCTTTTTTCTTTTTTTTTCCCTTCTAAATATAATGAATATCGGAAAATATCTTAATGTTAATGTAATTGGCAGACAAGACCTACTTCGTAAAAAATCTATGACATCTTTTACCAACAAAAAAAAATAATTTTTGAATTATTTTTTTGTCTTAAATCATTCGGAAAGCTTTATGAATTCATACTCTATGTTTACTGAAATAAACAACATTTTGCGTTATTATGAGTTTAAAATAAATTTTAGTTTTTATTTACTTTGCGAATATTTATATATAGTTCATAAATTAATTCATAGTTATTAAAGTTCTGTTACCTTATTACAATTCTATTACCTTCAGAAATTATTACAATTCTGTTGCAAATGTAAATCCTGTTATAAACTGTAATAAAAATTAACGTAAATTGAAATAATAAAATTGAATTAATAAATTGAAGTAATAAGTTGAAGTAATAAATTGAAGTAATAAATTGAAGTAATAAATTGAAGTAATAAATTGAAGTAATAAATTGAAGTAATAAATTGAAGTAATAAATTGAAATAATAAATTGAAGTAATAAATTGAAGTAATAAATTGAAGTAATAAATTGAAGTAATAAATTGAAATAATAAATTGAAGTAATAAATTGAAGTAATAAATTGAAGTAATAAATTAAAATAATAAATTGAAGTAATAAATTGAAGTAATAAATTGAAGTAATAAATTGAAGTAATAAATTGAAATAATAAATTGAAGTAATAAATTGAAGTAATAAATTGAAGTAATAAATTGAAGTAATAAATTGAAGTAATAAATTGAAGTAATAAAGCTATTAAAAATGTCATAAAAACAACTATTTAAAAAAAAAAATTTAACTTATTTTTAAATTCAGTTAACGAGTTAATTTTCCTAAGTTTTAATGGTAGATCAATAAACTTTAGTACCAGACTAGTAGAAAGAACTTTTATAGTATTCAAGTTAGATATTTTGAAATTTTGTTATGTTACCGTTATTTATTGCTATATTTCTATGTTTAAATACTTCAAAGTAGTTGTTTAAGTTTAAAAATGATAATCCAAGGATGTACTGCTTTGTTAATAGATAAAATGCAATAAGTAGTTGCGAGAATGGTGATTTTATGTTAACGTTGGGGTTACTGTTTACATTTATTATACGAGATGCAAGTGTATGCAAAGAGTCTAGTTTATCAGTTTTGGGTTTTGGTAGGTCGAGGAAAAGATTTCTACAGTATGTTAAAAGGGGTAATATTGCCGAATATAATAAACGCTTCACTACAAGATGTATTAACAAGGATTCATTCAACCAAAAATCAATAGCAGAATTTTCTTATGTCATCAATAAAAATAAAATATGAGAATAGTTCAAATACTGATTGGTCCGCATCAATATTAAATAACCATTTAATGTGGTAACGTTTAACGAACGCTTTCATTCAACATTAAATGCGTTGCAAAAAACTCCAGAACGACATAGATCTTACAGAACCCTACAGAACAACAATAAAGTTGAATGTTTTTAAAGAGACAAATTTTATATATTACCAAGTTTTACACCGCTAGATTTCTGGGGAAAAAAAACGTTTGAATATCAATAACAATATTTTAAATCAATAATTAAACCATTTCTTTTTTCAATATACATGTAAACTTGGGTAATTAATGAAAATGCATGATTTAATTTTTATTCAATTTGTTAAATTTTCAAGAGCCATAAAAAAAAAATATTATGTCCTAAAAAAAAAAAATGGTTAACACCAAGAAGTCTTAAAAAGTTCTAACAAATTAAATTCCTTACATTAGGCAATTGTTTAAAGTAAAAAAACCTGAAAACTTTCATATGATAAAATGTGTTTTTGTTAAACCACCAGTGATATTAAAAAGACATCATTTATATAAGATAATTTGTATACTAGTGTTTCCTTCGAATACTCCAAAGGCACTCAACTAGAATTTCAAAGAATAGGCAGAAATGATGAATATACAATAAAAATAACAAAAATTAATACAATATTTAAATTGCTACAGATTGCTAACACAGATTTGTTTTAGATTATATTTTTTGTTATCAAATCACCTCTTTATTCACAAAAAACAGTACTAGGCCTGGCCTTCTTTTCAAACGAATCAACATTGAATTTTGTAAAAAATTGAAAATGGCTTCTTTTGATGAAGAGCTAGTTGTACGTGGTGTTATTTTAACATCAGTAAATGTTAAATTTAATAAAAGTTCTATAAAAATAGATTGCGTTGACAAAGAGCTATAAAATTTGAAATATAAAATTAGAAAATATCTCCAGCTGTAGAAAACAGTCTTTCGGCATCTGTGGGTGTCAGAGGTAGTGTGAAGAACTTTTTTTTCACCTTAGTCAATGTTAACTAAGTGTTAACATTGACATAACAATTAACATTTTTTATTTTATATGTATATATATATATATATATATATATATATATATATATATATATATATATATATATATATATATATATATATATATATATATATATATATATATATATATATATATATATATATAATAAAAAATGTTAATTGCTATCTTTATCGTTTTGAATTTTGCTAGAATATAATTATTTATATAACTTTTGCTATTATAATAAAACTTGCCGATTTCCCACCAAAACATTACTTTATTTTCAACAAATACAACTGCAACAATCAATTTAGTAAAGGTTTACAATAATCAAAATAGTTACATAAATATAAAGCGATTAAACCATCGGTTGCTATAAACAGCAAATGAAATTATACAAACGTAGATTACGCTGGCCAACAAAAAAAAATTATTTTTGGTTTTCTAGCAAAGAATACGTTTTTTTGTGTTACATTTGAGATGAAGGTGAAAAGCGGTTTGCATATTTCAAATCAAATGAGAAATGATACAAAAAATGTATTGTTTGTTACGAAATCAAAAAAAAAAGTTTTTTGTTGGCCTGTGTTATTAAGTTCTTAGATTTTTAACAGGGTTTTCAGTAATAATTAATTTAGGTGTTACATATTTAAGCTTTCAAATATTTAATATTTTATTAAATGATTTTATTGGTTAAATTATTATTCCTGATAATTATTATTACTGATAAAAATAGCACCACCGCTATTTTTATCAGAAATAATAATTTAATAAAAGATTCTATTTGATAAATTAATAAACATATTCACATTATCAAAAAAATTTTAGTGTCGAGTGAAAGTTGAGAAAAAATGCAATTTAAATTTTATTCTTTATTAGTACGCTCTGCTTCTTATCATGTTTCTATGTACAAAAAGGAAAGTCAAATGTTGTTGGTTTAAAAGACCTGGATGTCTCGTGTATGGTTTTCATGTTATTTTTGCCATATTTATATATAGGGGAAAGTGGGGCAACATGGCGAATGGGGCAAGACGGGTTTTCATATAACAAATTAACAAAAAATTTTAAAGTTGGGTGAAAACAAAACTGTATTTGCATCTTGTATTTCAAAACACGGATTGATTTTTTTAAATATTATTAACGCAATTTTATACGCATAAGTTTACTTTTTGCATTAAAAAAAAAATTCCTTAGTTTCGGTTTTTTAAAATGGTTGGTGTCCTTCAAGTTTAACTTCTTCAGAAGTAGTTTTTTGCGACTTGTATTTATTTTTTGTTTATTCTGATAGTTTTATAATGACTCAGGGTTTTCAAAACGTTTGCTATGTTGCCCCTTAAAATTTATATATTTTATATATATATATATATATATATATATATATATATATATATATATATATATATATATATATATATATATATATATATATATATATATATATATATATATATATATATATATATATATATATATATATATATGTATATATATATGTATATATATATATATATATATATATATCTATATATATATATACATATATATATATATATATATATATATATATATATATATATATATATATATATATATATATATATTTAATTTACTCAAAAAAAAGTTTGTGATGTAGAAATAATGCAAAATATGCATAATACTTTTTTAAAAATAAAATTTCATAGAGCATTAAACATGTTGGATAATTATGAAAATCGTTTTGGATATACATTAGCGTTTGGATTAACTGTCACTATGTGCGTTTCAATTGTTTTAAATGATTATACTTCTATTATTGGGCCAGAGTTTACTGCGACTATAACAAACTTACCTCAGAACTTTAAATGGCTATCAGGTATTTGTTTTTGTGATAACTTGTCTCAAACTTTTATTTAAATTAAGTGTATCAGTAAGGATTACTATAACTAGTATAATTGCAACCACTACCACCACCACCACCACCACCACCACCACCACAATAACAACAACAACAACAACAACAAAAACATCAACAACAACAACAAAAAACATAAACAATAACAATAACAACAATCACAACAACAACAACAACAACAACATTAGCAACAACAAAAATAGCAACGACAACAACAACTGCAGTAAAACAACAACAGATATAAAAATAATAAGTGATATATTTAGGATATATTGAACTTTATGATACTTAAACTTTGATCAAACAAAGATGAAAACAAGATGTTGATCAGAGTCAAGTATGTCCTAGTCATGAATTAATTATGCATTTACCTTCTTTTCCCATATATGGCAAAAGAAGACAGTGATGACGAAAGTGAACAGTTTAATGCTTTGTCTATACAATATTGTAAATTACAGAGCGTTTGCTGCAAAAGTCAGTTTAGCAGCAGTGCTATCTTCAGTGTCGCTAAGGAAAACGGTGTGAACTTGCTCATTATATGGTCTACTGTGGCTACCACTTTTATTTTAATTTAATTTTAAAACTTTATTTTTTGTTGATGGTTACAATAGTTTTAATAAGAATAAGACTAATTAAAATCAACTTTTACCAATTATAGACAATCCACACTCCCATGGAAATCGTTAAAAAAATATATATATATAAAGTCCACATATGTATAGTCAATTTACGATAAAAAATTTTTAAAAAAATTTAAAAACAAAAAAACAAACTACAATTAACAAAACTATAATATAAGTTACAAACTATATTAAAATATTCAAATTAGAACCGTTTCATTACAGAAAAATGAGTAAATATTGCATTATAATGTCAGGATAAATAAAAATAGAAAAATTAATGAATAAAAAAAAGATAGATAAATAAAAATAGTAGTTAAAAACGACAAATTTAACAATAAAAATTTTTTGCATACGTATTTTTGATATGTTTTTTGAGCACCTTAGAACTTTTAGAGGACATGGTCTTGTTATCTAGAGTGTTCCATAACAAGATGCTCTATATATGGTACAACATTTATCTTTATATTTGGAGCCATTTGTAGTTAAAATCATTTTTTTTTTGCTTCAACGAAGTTTAAAAGGAAGGGGTTTGTATTGAATAAATCCTTCATAAAATCTGGATTTAGACAATTAATTGATTTAAAAACTTCTATTATAAGAAAATTCAAATTTCTTAAGTGGATCCTCGGACTATTATCAAACTTAACAATTCATCAAGTGATAAGTCAAACTTTTTATGGACAATACAAAGAGCTTTCTTATGAATTCTATTTATAAGGTTGTCATAGTATTTAGAACAAAACATTCAAATTAGGGGACAATAAGAAAAATTTGATATTATGAAAGCGTTAAACAACAAGGTAGCATTAGCGGGATTAAAAATTTCTTATGCGTGAAGAGCAAAACATATTAGTTGCTTCATTTTGCAATCAAAAAATAACCTTTTCTAAGCTGTAATCACAGACATACAGCGTATTATCATCTGCAAAGTTGCACAATTCAGTATCTTTAATAAAGAAGAATATATCATTTGTAAAGATATTAAAGAGGATGGGGCCAAGGATGGAACCTTGAGACACTTCCAATAAAATATCAATTAGAAACAGAAGGTACTATCCTTACCCTTTGTTTACGACCGTTATTATACGATATAAGAAGTTTAAAGCTTTTTTTAGAGAAACCATACGCCTCTAACTTAGCAATATAGTAGTTCATGCGGAATGAAATCATACGCTTTAGATAGATCCATTAATAATGTTCCAACAATACTTCCATTGTTAATGCATTCACGCCACTAATTAAGTAAAAAAATATGTGTATACTGAGTACTATAACCTCTACGAAAACCATTCAAACTTTGGCTCCATAAATAACAAAATCTGTTCATAAACGATTATTTCAAAAACTTTGGAGAGAACAGGTAGAATATTTATAAGGCAATAGTTAGCCTTATCTGTTGAGTCGTTTTTCTTAAGACATGGTAAAAAATCCGCCATATTTAGAAATGACGGAAATGTTCCATCTAAGATGGAACATTTCCGTCATTTCTATTATTAATACAATCTGTAAGACTATCCCTAAAGTGTATTAAGTAAGATTTTAACATAAAAGTTGGTATTTCACCACTGGTTTTTTTTTGTTCATAGACCCTATATTTTTTGTTATATCATCAGATGTAATATTGTGTAAATTATGCGTATTCATTTATAATATTGTGTAAATTCGTAATAATATCGTGTTCTATTGTTACGAGACCGGTACCTTTATAAAACGGATATATATCAGTGTAATTATTTTCTTTAATTTCTTTAAATGTCTTTCTTTGATCTATTGTTACATTAAGCTTCACTTTTTTATTTATTTTTAACTCTTTTAGAACATTTTTTCTTAAATCCTGTGCATTTTCTATTTTGTTATTATATTCCAGTTTTAACGCAGAAGACTCTGTTGTTGCAAATATATCCATATAAGAAATTAACTTTGACGAAGGTACGAAGTTTTGGACCAAGATTTAGAAGTTTGATTTTAAAGTTTTTGGCACACGTACTTTATGGACTTAAGGAAAAAAAATTGATTATGGCCAGAGATTGGCTTACAAGATTTAGGTTTTAAGGAGAGAGTAGGGTGGTCTTTGAAGAAATAGTTATAGCAAGTAATAATTAATAGCAAGTAGTTTTTAGTGATTGAAGTAATCAATAGAAAAAGCAAAGTTCTTGTAAAAAGCTCAAAATATTTTGTAAAAATTCTAAAAAATAACTGTTTTTCTAAATTAGATAAATATTGGACTTCGGAATGTTTTTCAACCAAAATTTCGGATTTTACTGAATTTATAAAAAGTACCGGAACCGAAATATTGGCATCGGTTTAAACTGAAATTTCGGCCAAAACCAATACCGAAACAAAATTTCTGTCGATCAATTGTACCATCGCAGTGTTGGGTTTTGGAGTTGCTTTAATTTTAACGGAATAAAAGTATGTAACATTTATAGATGGAATCTCGCATCTTTTTATAAACAATATTCGCGCAGAAAACATTAAAACTTCACAAGTAAACATTCCTAAATTCATAACATAAATACACTTTATAAGTGTCTTTTGCATTTCTATTAAATCTATTATTTCTATTATTTTCTATTATTAATTGTGACACAATTAATAATAGAATATAATGAAAATAGTTGCAACACAAGTTGTGTTGGAACACAGTGATGGCGCTACTGCAGTTTCTCTCCCCCCCCCCCCTACTTTATTTATTGCTGATTATGATAGATATACTGGATTAAAAATGGTATTAAAACATAGGTCTGAAAATCAACAGAAAGTATTCCAATTTGATGCTCAGGTTTAAAAAATTACACAAAAAAACGCTAATACTCGCCATTTTTTCAAAACACTTTACATCAAAGTTTGGTTGAAACTTTTTTCCAGTGAGCGAATCCAGGTTTCGCGTTTTTTTGTAAAATCAACACTTAAATATAATAAGTGTTTAAATATCGAATTCGTTTTTAATAGTGTATAAAATATAACAAATTTTGCTATTAATATATTAAAAAGAATTATTTAAAATAATAAACATAACCTATTGCAATTTATTATATGATACCATTTATACTTATATAACTGGTTTAAATAAGTTTAAATAATTCAGGACTTGATTTTATAAAAAAATGCAAAACAGAAAAAAGAATCGACTTCAAAGCTTTCATTTTACAAAGAAATCGATCGTTCTTTTATTAAATACGCAACCCGGTTTTTATTGTCGTCAATGTTTTTATGAATATATTATATACATTTTTAATTAATTTTTGAATAATTAATTTAAGATTTTGCTTTTAAGATGTATATAAATCGACTGAAAAGTAGGTATTGGCGCAATTAAATGTACATGCATCAACAGACTAATAGAGACTGGCGCGTTTAAACGTACATGATTTTGGACAGGGTTAGGGCTTGGACAAGGGATCAATATAAAAATGACGCGCTACGCATTTTTAAAAACAAATTGTTGATAGTAACCAGGCATTTTTAAAATCATCTTCAAAAAGGATTTTAATAATAACCGAGTGTGATAAAAATAGCGAATATTAGCGATTTTCAGTGTATTTTTTAAAACTTAAACATCGAATTAGAAATAACTTTAACTTTTTGTTAATTTTAAAACCCTTGTTTTTATACGACTCTTAATCAGCATAAAATTCTTTATCACAATCAATAACAAATAAAAGGGGGTAGAAACTGCAGTAGCGCCTACAACCATAACTCATTTCACTGATATGAGTTATTTTAAAATCTTTTCGTAACAATTTAGTAGTTTTTGTACAGTACTGAAATTTTCAGTTCAAATGAAGTAAAAAGTAAAAAACTAAATTGTTATGAAAAGATTTTTAAACCAGACAATAGACAAATTAAAAATAATACCCTCATTTAAAATGTATCTAGATTTTTAATATCTAAATACTAATACGATGCATTTTATACATTAAATCCTTTTTTTCATGAGTATTATGTATAGGAACATTAGAAAACTGTCTAGATTTTGCGTTTTAATAATTGCAGTCTTTTGTAAAAGCTATGCGAAGTTTTCCCAATAGCATTTTTAAATCACCACACAGAGTCCTTGGTGTTGTAAATTAATAATAGTAAATCAAAACTCAAGATGGTATATTCAGAAAAATAATAAATATTGTAAGCTAAAGGTAGAGTAAAACTATTTGTCATAAAAGAAACACAGTAGTTATTGAATGCAATAGTATTCAGAAACAGTAGTAAGCATTAGGAATTAGCATCAAGTATATAGCCACTAGGTTTAAACTTTTGATAAAAGTTCATTTTGTAATCTAGTAATATAGTAATATGTCTGATATACAACCATTATCTTATTATCTGCTGGTAACCATT